TTACGATCAGGAGGTGCGAAGGAATAGATTGTTTATTCTACGGAGTTGAACTTTCGAGAGAGTGATCTCTATCTTTTTAATGGCTGGCCAACGGAATGTTGACCTTACGTCGACGTTTCACGTGGAAGCAGAATCGTAAAGTTCAACGGGAATGTGACACTTTTATTTATCTTCAATCATTCGTAGCTCTTAATAAAGAATGCTCGTTTCCGTTCCATGCCTGGTTTCGTGAAATATCTCTGGGAAATTAGCGTAGGTTTATTTACAAATTACTTGATTCGATGAGGTAATTATATTATTGATATTCATTATAAAAGAAACACCGAAGATCGTCGGCGTTGTTCCTGTGTCACGTAAATTGGAAATGACGACTACCACGATCGGTCTTGCTTAATCTAGATCGACGATTAATTTAACGAGAAGGTGGGGTTAAAAAATCCAATTCCGGGCGTACGTGGCTTTTTTAGTTTATAAATAATATCGGGGGAAAAGAAATCCTCGACATGCCAGAGACGAAATGCAATTATTCGAACGAATGAACGATTGTGTTGTTTGGTGGATGTTCTTGGCAAGGTTACTAGTGTTTCTTCGACGATAGTGTACTGTCTTGGTTATTTCGTCGCCGCTGCTCTATCGCGTCCACTATTACATCAGACGGTATTATGAAAACGTGATTCAGGGGAGAATCGCGAGTGGAACGCGCGAGGGACGCCAACACGTCGGGGGAAACAGGTTGTCAAGACGCGCGATGCCTTCGAAGGCTTTAACCTGTATTGGCCGAGACGGAACGTATCTTTGCCTGTACTACTTTGTCCATCGCGATCTACTTTGACCGCCAGTGGCGCTCAAACACTTGATCCTCGACTAAACGGAGCATTTCGGTATTAATCGAGCGGTTCACCTATTATACATGAAGATTTAGACTTTTAAAATAAATAAATTATTTTGTTTATCGTAAGCATCAGTTCTATCTTCGTCTGTGGTACATTGTTCGTCTTGCACTTTGATCCTTAGTCTCTCTCACGTAGTCAATACTACGGCCAACTTCGAAATAAGTCGATTCGTACGTATTCAACTACTTCTACTACCTTTGTTTGTTTATTATGAAGATAATATCAATGAAATCATCATACACAACTTTTCAATCGATTACGTTGCATTTTCTGTGAATAAATATAAATTACTAATTAAGGGACAGTAAGTATCATATGTAATGAGTTACTATAAATTCTACAAATACTAGGAATTCTTATCTTGTAGTGTCTATCGACTTCTAGAGCTACTATATTATTTTCAATTTGAAAATTATTAATATAATTATGTTATCAAATAACCTTAAGTTCGGTGTTCTTCAATTCCTTTTGTGTCCGACACCGTACACCCCAAAAACCATTCTCTCCGCGAACCCACTGGGAGACCACGAATTAAATCAGAAACGTTCAAGTGCACAACGAAACCGCGAACTCCTCCCGAATGATTAACGCGATGCAAACGTTGCTGCTATCCGAGTTAATTCGATGAAATTAAATCAACGGCTGGCAACGCGTCTTGATATGCCACGATCGTGGCCCGACCTGTGTGCGTGCGCGCCGCAGTGAGTCAGTGGCCTCTCAGCAATAAAATCTAGTGGATATTGTATGTTCCCGATATGAACTGTAATTCAATCTTCAATCTGAAGCATCCGGCGACTAAAATGAGCTGACGTCTGAAACGAGGTATCGGGAACATGTCAAGTGCAATCAATTCGAACGTCGGGATTCGATGAGATTAACAGTTTCGCGACCGAACGATAGCCGGGCGAAACGGTTAGCCGAATGCAAGTATATGTATTCGAAAACTCTGTAGCTGAGTTAAATGCGTATAGAAAAAAACAGCTTTTTTAAATCAGATGTAGCCGAAGAATTTGAAATGACATAGGATTACGTTGTCCGTCGCGAAAGTGTTAATTATTCCATTATTCAAAGTTCCGGTCAGAGTTGGTAATTTGCTACTGTTATCAGCGTCGCGGATAATGAATTTTTTAAGAAAAGAATGCATCGAACGACCGCGAAATTGCATCTGTCTGCTGCACCAATTATTACATCCCCGCAGACGGTCACGATGTCTTACGTCTGCCTCGAGACGGCTTGTCCTACTGAGTGGACCGGCCACTTGGCAATGGGAGTGAATTTAATACCTGTTAATTGTCATGTGAGCGCGACCCGCGCGCATAACGTGTATATTACCAATTATGTAGAATGCATTTCACCGACGTCAACAATCCCGTCGTCAGGATAAAGGAGTTCGAACTTTAAGGGCGGCTCCGCTGCGAGCCGCCGATTTCGATCTTTATCAGCGTTACCACGAGCATTAACGTTGGCTGTAAATAATCAACGTTTAACCACTAAATGTCTTAATTATTCGAGATAAATGTTTTTAGCTGAAATGAAAATCCGCGGGCTTCTGGCAGTGTGCGCCGTTTGCGAAATTATTTCAGATCGGAGACGAGGAGAATATAGTGTCCTGGTATACAGGATGTACCATTATTCGAGATGCAGAAAGATTCTTTCTTTACTCGGAGAAAATATTCTGATTAACGCGATAACGGATTGATTCTAAATTAAAGGTTGCGGCAGGGAATAATGTTTGTATAAATGTGTAAACTATTCCCAAATAGTAAAAAGTACATATAAATTAAAAGAAGAGTGCTGTATTATGAAACAAAAATATCTTTCTATCGATACAACCATGATACAATGAACACTGATATTAATGAAACAGTTTGAAATAGTCGAGTGACTTTAACCTGAGCACAGTAGTATGTCGATGAACTAACATGCGATTTGAAACAACCTGTATTGCAACGAATAATCGTTTCATTTAGCTTTAAATTCGCGAAAGAAATTTATCGGGCGCTCTACAGGTCTAAGGTCGATTTTGCCGATACCGGATGACCTTGTCCTAGAAACTTCCCTTCAACTGGATCATCGGTTTCGCGGTGTTCGACGAATTCAATTGAAACAGACGTATAGAAAGATGTTCGAGCAACGTGAACGTGAAACAGAAGCGTCAATCTCCTTGTCGGAGGATTTATTTATAACAGGTGAACCCGCGTCTTCGCCTTGGTACATTAAACCGTTCTCATATTGACGTCTCATTCGTCGACGTTGCACAGAAAACGATCTCAATGACGAGTCCTGTTCTGCAATTCTGGCTTTCATCGACACCCACTACGGCACGGCCACGGATTATATAATTCGGCGACGTTGAACAACTAGAAGAAAACGAAGACGACGCCGAAGGAGAACGGGGGAGGGTAGAAGCAGCCCGCCGCGGGCCAAGAAAATTCTACGGACGTCGAAGAAAGCGTAACGCGGCCTCGAACAAGTTAAAGAATAAATATATATCGAAGCAAACGGGAAATAATCGAAGATTAACTGGTGCTATTTTCGAACAGCGTTGCACCGGTACCAGTGGCTTCGGAAAAATGGAAGATAAATATGCCCGGTGTGCAATAATAACGAAAACAAATAGGAATCGCTTTTGTTAAATAACACCTTCTTCGTCATGGATAAATGTTAAATTTAAATAATGTAAACGATAATCGAATAAAGAATAATCGTGAGATTCATTATTTTCAGACGGTGTTCCGATAATGAATGGTTATACCAAGAAATTGGATTATTTTTATTAAAAATTCAATGGCATCTGTATTATTAAAGTAACTTTTGAAATTTTGAAAGAATCAGAAAAGAATATTTCGAGTAAAAGTAATGAAGAAGATTAATATAAATTTCGAGATTAATGAACGTCTACTGAAACCTCGGATGTTTCTTAGAAGATGCAAATACTAGAAAAGTCGAGAGGTATACTGAACTGTAAATTGTATTTCAAGTTGCCATAGTTCTTTTTCGATGGTAAAAG